CAGTGGAGTTTCTAAGCCAAAGCCCTTTGCGATTAGTCATTGGTTGAGAAAAAGGCTTCCTAGGGGCAGCAGAGCTTCAGGGGGATGCGCATGGGGGTAGGAGACAGGCCTAGGCTTGTCACCTGGGCCCTGTCGCTAGTAGCCGTGTAGCCTGAGCACACGGCTGGCCCCAAGGATCAGTTTCCTCTTATGTGAAATGGGGTGAACAGTTACAGCACAAGGTGATTGGGAGATGTGGATTAAACATAGCACCCAGAGATCTCCGAACGTTCATCTGAAGGCCTCAAATGCCTGGAGCGGGTCATGTCCCCACAGGAACCGGGTAGGTCAGATGTGTCTAGAAAAGGACAGAGACTATACACTTTTGTTCTTAAGGCTTCTGCCGAGAACTCAATCAAATTAAAACACCCCTGGTACGAGCTGATAGCACAAGGACACTGTGGTGTGGGGGATGCACCACAGGACAGCAGGCTCCAGCGTCAGGGCTCGCTCCTGCGCTCTCCCGGGACACGCCCGTTTCCCCAGTGTCTCCATCACAAAGCGGGGGGCGGGGCATGAGAGCAGTGTGTCCAAGCCTTGTTCTGAAGGACGCGGGCACCCCCAGCTGCCTCAGTGTCCTGCAGTATTTTCTTTAAAATTTCTTTAGGAAAATATTTTAAACTATTGATCCAGGTGCTAGAACCAGGCTGACAAGGCTCAAATATCAGCTCTAACGCTTATTAGCCATGTGACTTTGAGCAAATTGTTGAATCCTCCTAAGACTCAGCTTCCACTTTGTAAAAAAGATTTTTATTTATTTACTTTTAGAGAGAAGGGAAGAGAGGGAGAAACGGGGAGAGGAACTCAGTTGGTTGCCTCTCATACACGCCCTGACCAGGGACCAAATCTACATCCCAGGCGTGTGCCCTGACTGGCACCGAAACTGGTGACCTTTTGCTTTGTGGGATGAGCCCAACTGAGCGGCTCCAGTCAGATCTTTTTGGTAAACTGGGAATAATAATAGTGTCTACTAAATAAGGGTGATGAGGAAATTTGAAAAGTGTGCACGTGTAAAATACTTAGAAAAGTGCTGGTGTCACTTTGCCAGCCACTGGCCACCACCAATCTACGAATTTGTTGTGCTAAGGAAAATGGTTTCTCTGCCCGACTCTTTGGACTTAGAACAAAGCTTAAATGCTTCATCCTCATCTACAAGAGAGGTCAGCAAACTTTTTCTGTGAAGAGCCAGGTAGTAAATAGTTCAGGCTTTCAGACCATACGGCTTCTATCACTGACTTCTGCTCTTGTATCTTGAAAGTAGCCACAGGCAATATGCAATTGAATAAGTGTGACCATGTACTAATAAAACTTTATTTATAGAGATTGGAATTTGGGTTTCATATGATTATCATGTGACATAAAATAATATTCTCTTTTTGATGTTTCTCAATCCTTAAAATGGAGGGTCTTACAAACACAGGCAATAAACATTCTTTGCTTGTGGGATGGACAAACGTGAGCTGTGGCCCACGTTCTGCTCGTGGGCAACAGGTTGCCAGTCCCTGGTGCCCGGGGCCGCATGGCTTTGCGTCCCTGCAGCCTCATTTCCTCTGCTTCCTGCCATCCTCACTGAGCTTTAGTCCTCTGAGCCCTTCTGTTCTAAGCCACTGGCTCCTCTCTGCTTGGGGACTTCTGCACTCCCTTCTTCCTGGAGCCTTCCTCATTTAGCCCTTCAGCACGACCAGCTTCCATCCAGCCTTAACTGTCAGTTTAATTGCCGCCTCCTCAGGGACGCCACACCTGACCATGAATTCTAAGGTATTGCTCCTGTCTCACGTATCTCTTTATCATAAAACCCAGGGTATTTTTTTTCCTATACAGCATTGATCAACAGCTGTGATTTTGTATCTTGTCTATTTGTGTGTTCATCGTCTCTCTCTCTCTGCTGCATGGGAGCAGGTATGTTGCTTTTCGTATTTGCGGAGGTAACCCCAGCCTGCCGCCCTGCTAGGAGATGTTCGGTGAGCATCGTAGGATGACGAATGAGTCCACAACCTCCGTATCTTAGCCTCATACAACGAGTTAATGATAAGCATTCACCTCCCTATCTTGTGAACTTGTGATGAGAATAAAACAAGAATGTGTTTTTAAGATTCTATGAAGAGTCATACAAAGGGAAAGTGATAAATCATTAAGGCAGCCTCCTCGACAAGCCGCAGAACTCAACCAACACAGCCACTTTCACCACAGAAGCTAACTTATGGGGAGAACAGTAATATTAGTTTGAATGAGGCCATTTTCGTTCTTTGTCCTTGATAGTCCCCATAAACAAGAAAATAGCTATATGTGTAATTATTACCTTGGCCTTAGCAAAAGCTCTTATTTATTAGCATGTAGTAGTAGGTATTTTATATTCATTGTCCCATTCGATAGTCACAACCAAACTGTAAAAAAATCATTGTGTGCCCATTGCGCAGGTGAAACGAGTTTAAAGTGTCCAGGAAGCAGCTGAGCAGGACCCTCGCCAGCTCCGCCTGGCTTCTCTGGGACTGGATCGGACTTCCCCAGCGATGCGGGCACCTTCCGGACTGCCCCACCAGCATGCTGGCCACCAGGTCGCCAGGGGAACCTCGGTGTCTTTGCAAGGCCAGGAGCAAGCCGCCTGGGCCGGGGTGGCGGGCGGGGGGTGGGGGGGGGGGCCGCGGGCGGGGGGGGGGCGGTGGTGGTGCACGTTGATTTCTGGCAAAATGAAGTATTTTGTATTATCTTTCTTCCAAAGGCGTTTTCGGTCCTCGACTTGAAAAGACATTTTGTTGAACAAATCCGAAGCCCACTGATTCATTGTCTCTGGATGTTTGCAGGCAGCCTTTACATGTATCGGAAGGGGGCCAAGCGAGTTTGGGAACCTGTCAGGCAGACCGCGGCGAGCCAGCCGCGAGGCTAAAGCCAGCTCGGCCCGCTGCCGGCCTGGGCTTAGCGGCTAGGCTTCCTCAGGAAGTTAACCTGCCAGGGCGGGGGTGGCCGAGCCCGTGACAACCCGCACTCATTTCCCGGGCATCGGTTTTCCTACGTGGTTTATTGAAAATCTATTCGATTAACATATCCATACTTTAAAAGCCGGGCCTGTGTAGGAAATGCACAACAATAACCAATGCTGAACTAGAACAGCTGTAACAACACACTGCAGTTAAGTTGCACGGACAGGAGAGCAGCCGGCCCGCGGCTCCGGAGAGCGGCCCAGTGCGGGGGTGGGGGGGGGGGGGCGGGGGGATGGGCTCCTTTCCCTCCCACCCACGCCCTCCCTCTGCGAGGGTCCCTGCCGGCCTCGCGGGGCAGGGGCGCACGAAGGTGCGCGCACGCGGGTGGCGGATGGGGGCCTCGGGAGCTCGCTTTCCACTCCCGGATCAGGGGAGGGATGCCTGGCTGGGAGGGCCCGGGCCTCAGGGCTGCCCGAGCACCGCCCCCCTCCTTCCGTCGCCGCGAGGGCCCCTCGGGGAGGAACCGTGCTCTTGGTGGACGTTCGTGCAAGAGTAATGACCACAGTAATGCCTGCAACCATGGTGTAACTAGAGACCACTCAGAATTTAGCGTAGGGTCGCTCTGGATTAACTGAGGACAGTTTCTCTTCATTGACTCGCTGACCAGCCACGTGGACGGAGCTGCTGCTGGGATGGGACGAACCCATCACAGGGGGCGCGAGCTGCGGCCGCGACGGGTCGCCGCCCGGACAGCACAGGCGCCACGGGTGGTTCACAGGCACCTCGGCGGTAGGAGTCGGCGTAGTTTCTCGTTCACGCAGGCTTGCCTCTTCCAATACACTCGAGTAACGTAGGAAAAAAGGATGCAATAATAGCCTTATAAAGGAGAAAGGAACCAATATACCTCCAAGAACCGAAGGTTTGGAATGGCCTGCGCGTTACTTGGATGGTGTTCTCGTGCCGAGTGGCCATCAGAGAGGGAAGCAGGACGGTTTCCCGCGCGTTTCCCGTGCGTGTCCTGCACAGAGTCCAAGCACATAGCTCAACAGCTGCAAAACTTCAGTGTCTGCGGGAGTAACGGCAGCTCAGTGGTGCCGTGTAAAACATTCATACGAACTGCTTGTATATTGTTTGACTACTCATCACTTTAATTTTAAACCTACATGCACTGAACATAATAGTACATGTATTTAAAAATCAAGTTATTTCCTCTGTATTACAGAGGCAATTTTTTCCTTCCCTCGACTTGGTGTAATAGCTAGTCACTTTCCTAGGAAAACTCAATATGCTGAAGTATTAAAGAGAAGCAAATCTCATTTTAATCCCTTGTTTAAAGATGAAAAACATCTGCCATCACCTAAGAAAACATTCCCCCTTCCCCTCTGTATTAACCTCCATAGGTGCTAAATCGCTCCTTTCCCCAGCCTAGCAGGCCAGTTTCACCGTTTTGGGCAAGGCAGCCAGCAGCTCTAAGTCCTCACCTGGGCAGGACTACACTTCAAATGCAAATAACCTTGTGCCTCGTTATCCAAGAAGTTCTGCACGCACAGCCCTGTTGTGACAGAGCCTGTGAAAATGAGGGGAGGTTCATCTGCATTCTGACACAGGCTCCTGTGAATAAACGCAACGGAGCAACTCAGCACTGCTTTCCAATTCAACACAGGGCAGCCGGGCGCCTGGGTCGCCAAGGAATGTCTCCGTTTTCACTGCACAGGGGCGCCCTTCTCAAAGGCAAGGAGACAGGAACTTCCCTCATTGTAGCTCTTCAGCCAGTTCCCAACAAGGAAAGAACAGGCTTTAATACAAGCAGCTAGTTGAGTAGAAGAGATACACTGTGGTGATCCCGAAGGCCACCGCAGGGCCACCCGTAGGCATCCAAACATGACGGACAGGAAATGACCGTATGAGCCTAAAATGCAAGACATTAGCAACGGCGATTTACCAAACTGACATCACTCCAGAAAATATTATTTTTTATTTTTATTTTTAGTTTTGCAAAATCATCTTTCAAATATAAGGTTATTTTAAAATAATTCTTTGGTTAAAGTATAATTCAAATAAAAAGTAGAAACTCCTGGAAGCCCTTCCTACAGGGTGGAAAATACCTCCCTCTTTCAGCCACCAGATGGCCATTTAATCAGCCACTCGGACTCTATGAATCCAAATGTCACGGAAAACACTGTGCTCTGCAGTCCAGGCCGGGGCGACACGCTGAGCTCCTAGCTACCCCTGCAGCGGGGGCGGCCGGGCCTGGAAACCTACAACTCTAGTTTGTGCATGAAAGTGTGCCGATCATTCTCGTCCAGTGAGGAGCAGATGGGGCATTTTAGCCTCACGGGAGCCGAAGTCCTAGCTCTGGCTAGTGCCGGGGTGAGAAGACCGACGTGGCGCACCGGCGCATGCGGTGAAGTGTTCCAGGCTCTCAGTCCCACCTGAGGTCCCCGAGGCAATTTCACCTCCGTTTGTCTCAGATAACTTTCCACATTAAAAAAAAAACCTTCTCTGCAAGAAAACATTGGGTTTTTGTTAGCTGGCATTTCCTTCCTCCCTTCTTTCTTCTCCCCTACCCCATCAACATTTATTCCTAATAAGCATCAGGCTCAGATCAAAAATAGCCAGTCTGAACTTAAGATTGTAATAGCAATCTAGAATATTTGGACAAGTATGGAATCATGTTTCTTTTATTATTCAACATGATTCCCAAGGAATTTCTCATTTGGAGCTCAAGTTTAGTTGTTTAAATAGGTAGATATGAAAAGAGAATTTAATGTGAACTCAGATATTCAGGCCATTTTGAACAACAATCTAGGTAATTCAAGCACAGGAATAAGTTCTTGGTTTACTCAGGGTTTTCCACCTAAATTGTTCAGAAAACCACTTCCGACCTCTACCTCCTTTTGCTCACGTAGACAATCGCCCAAGGCTCTGTCTGCACTGGACTAGGGACCACGGACAGTAGCCCAGCTACACTGACCTATCAGGTCACCATGGGACGCAGACAACGCAGAGGGAGGGAGCGGGGCAACCCATTCTGAACTCTGTTCTGTGTAAGTACAGACACAGACCAGAACATACTGCTATTATTTTCAAGGAAATTGCATCAGAGGTATTCAAGCATGATTCTGAGCACTGAAAGCCCATGAAAATTTGCGCAGAATCTAAGAAACATTATAGATCTGATTCACTTCCTTGTAGATAAAAGAATGAATGGCAGCAACATTACATGAACCGTAATGTGATGTTTCTCTGAAACCCTTTAATGAGAGTGTTTCACCAATTTTAAGGTTAAAACATTTATATTAATCAATGATGTCAGCACAGAGTTACTCCTGTACTCAGAGCCGGGTGGTGTTTGTGCAATGCCAGGTGAAATCAAGATTTGTTCCTTAAAATGTAAAATGCATGGCACGTTCCTTTAAGTGACTTTGAAAACCCCTATGATCTCCTTGCCGATCAACACTCATGAGCAGCCTCCTTTCGCTCCTCTTCCTTCCAGGGATCGGCACATTCCCATTTCCAGTAGGCACGCAGGCCTCTTTTTTATACACCACATTTTATGCATCTGGGTTTTGAAGCTTATTCGATGCTACGATATATCTCGATTTGCTTTACACCAATGCTCTTTAAGTGGCTGGGGTTCCATGGTGCACACACCCGCTGTGCGTCCCAGAGCAGGCCCCTGTCTGCTGCTGGCAGCGCTCAACTCGTCACAGCATTAAGCAGACATTGATAACTGATGTTTTGGCGTGATTGTCATTTATTTTCTTTAACTAAACTCCCTCTACGTTCAGGAAGCAGGTCTGATGGGAAACCACAGGGTGCACTTCTCCCAACTCCCCTTACGTGGCCCTGCCTACGTGTTCACAATTATTGTAGAAAAACAAACACAGGAGGACAGCGCACGCGGCAGTGCCGCTGTGACTATCATCGTTTCGGTTCGCTCCCTGACCTCGTTACACACCCCTGGTATGACCGGTGCGTTTGTGGGTGTCCTGTTATGACTGACATGTGCTGTATGTAAGTGGACGATGACCTGACCCTTGGTATGGTTTCTAGATGTCCGTATTGCACAAGAACGAGCTTTTTGCTGACTCAAATAATGGATGTCACGTACATCCTTTGAAAAGGTCAACTGCCTTAACCCATTGCCATAGTCCAGACTCTAGGGCCAAGGACAAGCCACCACGGTGATTGAGAAGTGCGGTGGCTCTTTCAGTCGCAACATGGATACTTTAGAGTCACTTTATGTTTTGCAAGTTCTTTGCTCCTACAATTGAATACTTCACACATTTATCTTATTTTCCTCCTGAGTAGCCGAAAGTGCTTTGGAGAGCAAGCAGGACTTGCCTCCCCATTTCACAGACAGAGGCAGCTGCTCTGGAGAGACCTGGCAGCACCAGAGAGAACGTCCGGGTCGCAGGCCAGGTGTCAGGAGCCAGCGGCACGGCCGTCACGCCGCGAGCAGAACTGGGTGTGTAACCCAGGACAATGCTCTGCAGGGCATGTTTTCTGAGAGCCTGGAAAGAATCCTTCAGCGTGGCTTTGTCTGACCAGAACGTGGAGTTAAAAAGAAAATCCATCCCCAAGTTGGCAGCTTGGTGTTGCTGCAGCTGGAACCTGGACGCCCTCCTCCTTCCTGCATCCTTCCTTGGGACAGCGGGCGCCCCCACGGGCAGACTCTGGGGCCTTGGTCGCGCAGGCGGGAGGAAGGATACAGCCTCTGCCACTGTGGGTGTGTTAACTTAGGACGATAATCCTCGAAAGCCTTGTTAGCTAGGTAAGAGTCCAGAGAGAGAGAATAAATTTTATCCCTGAATCAAGTTTGTTTCTTATGCACACAGTCTCATCACAAGAGTTTTAAAGCATCAAAGGAAGTATGCAAATTATTCTTAGCTGTCCACTTATAACGGGGTGCAGACTTCTTCACTGTTCTAAACACACAAAAAGACACTTCTCCAAAGGCTTTATCAAGCCCCTTTCCTTGTTCACTGGTGTGCTTCAATCTTGTAGCAAGGTCTCCCTCCAGTTGAAGCCCCCAGTTGGCCCATGGGTGAGAGGAAGGATGGGTGGGTCTGTCAGCTGCCATATTCCAGTTTCTCCCAATTCTTCACAGGAACAAAAGCCCAAGTATGGAATCTGCAGTAACAGTAGTAAAGAAACAGGAAGTAGGAAACAGGTTTAATGCTTCAGCTTTTACCTAGATACAGAGAGCTGCAGGTGGCCCTCGAGAATCAGGAATATCCATAGGTCTCAGTAGGGGCTTGACAGACAACCATCCCCCCAAAATCCATATAGAAAATGAAATGGGAGAAGCTGATAAGTGAGAGGGAAGAGTATTTACATTGCAAGAGGATTCAGCAGATGGACTCATTAAAGGGCGAGCTCCTCTGCCTGGTGCAACTACTTGATTAGAGCCGGCTTCTTAACAGGGAGGGGGCAAAGAGGGCAATGGAGGGCTAAGCCGCTGCGCGTGATCTCCTAACTTCCTAACTGCAAGTCAAGCTAAAGCTGCTGCTCACACATTTCTGACATGATACTCAGACAGTGGGAAAGGCGACTCAGTTTTTGAAGGGTTGTTCATTTGTTTTACCCAGCTTCATTTATTTACTTATTTCCACGCGCATCTGTAACATCCAAAGTGGGAGCTGTGGCCTTCTTCACCTCAGTGTTTACGGCATCTAAGAGCTTATTTTGTGTGTGTCCTGAGCTACATTTATAAACAAGACACAAATCTCTGCCCTCAAGCAGCGTACAGAGTAAAGGGAAAGAGACGCATAAATGAGCTTTTAAAAAGTGAGAAAAGAATTGCGATCGAGTTTGAGCCAGCGTCTCTGGGGGCGCCTGGAGGAAACGCGTCGGTCAGCCCAGAGGGAGGTGAGTGGGAGGGCGGCTGACAGAGGAGAGCCCAGATGCGCGGTCGGCCTCGGCCTCCAGGCCTGTGGCTTTCTGCCCCGTCCTGGGTTTGCCTCTCAGTCTGACATTTGAAACCGCTGCTTCCTGGGGCCCACCAGGGACCCACTCCGGATGAGCTGTCAGAGGCTGTGCTTGCCCCGCCCCCTTCATCCAATCCACACTCAGGCAAAGCCAGGCAATTTGCTTTTAATTTTTAGCTACTTCCTAATTTTTAGCTCTAAGAAACTAGAGCTAGGTCAAACATGTCTTTTTCCCTTAGACAAGGCCTAAGAAAGGGCCTCACACAGAGCCCATCTTGGCTGAGTGAATCAGTGAGGGCGCCTCCCCGGCTACCAGCACATGCTTCAGGGAACCTAGCTGTCAGCCAGGCCCTGAGCTGCGCCACAATGCCCAGGCACCGCGGGCCCCTGTCACACAGGGCGAGTTACCTTTCGGACCATCTGTACAAAGTCCCTGGAGTTCTGAGGTGACAGGCCCTGAAGCTGGCAGGTACATGCTTCAAGGGAAGATGCATGGGCCACAATCAAGATGTTATTTCCTGTGGTAAAAAAGCAAGGACTGAGAAGACCATTTCTATACAGACATATGTAAGCTCTCTGAACCCTGGAAGCCAAATGTTCTGTGGGGGGCAAACAGTCTCAAGAAGGAGACAATTTGGCCAAACGATATTCTGAAATGCTTTGTATTGTTAAGGCAGCCTCATGTCACTAAAAAGCCCATTAATCTTAAACTAATTATAGATCCATAGGAGGTTATAAATATAGGTCACATGTATATATATAAAATTACTGTTGGCTCCTGAACGACATGAGTTTGAACTGTGTAGATCTACTTAGATGAAATATTTTTCATTAAATATTGTAAATGTATTTTCTCTTTCTTATAATTTCCCTGATAACTTTCTTTTGTCCAGCTTATTTTATTGTAAGAATACAGTGTACAGTACATAAAACACAGGAAATATGTGTTAACTGGCTGTTTGGTAACGCTTCCACTCAACAGTAGGCTTTTCATAAAGTTTTTGGGGAGTCAAAAGTGACAGGTGGGTTTCCAGCGATGTGGAGGTTGGCGCTTGCAACCCTGTGTTTGTCCAGGGTCAACTTTACGTATTGTATATGTACAACACAACTGTATATGACACGTGCCATTTATATCAGACTACATATACATACACATGGTGTGGGTGTGTACACAGGGCAGGCACGCTACATGTACACACATTCCAGGAAGGCCCCATGAGCCCTTTGCCCAGTCACCGCCAACGGCAGCGTCTTGCCTCACTGGCACGTTATCACAGTCAGGAAACGGACACTGGGACAATCTACATGGCATATTTAAGTTTTACTAGGTTTACTTAATTCTGTCACATGTGTAATGTTTTGTAAACACCAACAGAATCAAGATACAAAACTGTCTTTGCCTAAAGTTCTCTCTGCTACGCTTAATATAGTTTTCAGTGCTTCCATGTGGACCTGTGAGCACTGGCGACTTTCTGGTTGGCGCCACCCACTGGGGATCATTACAGTAGGATCACGGACGGGTAGCAGTGTGAGTGCCTTTGGGAGTGGCTTTGGGAGCCGCAACTCACAAACATCCACAACACTGTTGACCAGGGGTCTCCACTGTTAACATTTCAGTGCATATAATTCCAGGCTTTGCTCTATGAAGATACATATTTTAACTTAAAAAAGCAATGGGAATGTTTATACTCTTTTGTAACCTGCCTTTTTACTAAAAATTTTATAGTGAATAGTCAGTTTTACACATCATTAACTATTGGAGTTCAATGTTTATAAAATTCAATAGCAAACAGGCTGGAGCCTTCTAGAACACTTCTTGGTTGGTGCTAACAGTGGCAGCGTGTGTGTTTGTGTAGGTGTATTTGTGTGCAGATGTTCATGCTCTGGATCCATATGAGAAAAACAATGTTATGTTAAAGAACTTCTAGAAATTGTAGCAGGGAACCTCCTTCACAGAGTGCAAGATAAATAGCTGTCATGCCAAAATCTAAATTACTTCATTTTGAAACTAAATCTGGTGTATTTCCATGGAATACCTACCATTTTAGATATTCAAGAAAATATTACAAATTTAACATGAAAGTATCTACAAGAGGGGCCTGGAAATATTTTTTATTTACTAAGCAAGTCTGGCAAAGCAAGTTGAAACATCTTGTATAGCCTATTAACCATGATGGAAAAATGGTCACCTATTTAAACACAGAGTCCAAAATAATACCACTTACCTTTACTTTTACATTCACTTATTATTTCTTTTGTTACTTGAAAACTTCTATTGATATAAGTGTCATAGGATTCTGAAACCACTAATTTGCTGACTGGAATGTGAGGTCTGTAATAGAAAAATAAAGAAAAAGCAATAGAACACTTTGAGTATAAGACAAAGCAATTAATATTACTCTGTTTCATTTCAAGACCCTTCTAAAGTTTCCCTAATTCTCTTTATCCATTTCCCTAGAAAGGAAGGACGTAGAGCACTTCCACTATATAGACATGGGGTTGAGTATATAAAAATGTACAGAAATAAAGGCCATGGGGCAGAGTGTCAGAGTGACCAGTTGAAAAATGAAATATTTGGTGCACGTTTTACATGCAAGATGATTCATAAGCAGGTCATTATATCCAATAGAAAGCAGAGCGGAAGTCAGATCTTACTATCTATTTAGAGCACCAGATATTTCCTAAGCCTCTCTTCAGTAGCTTTACAAACAATAACCTATAAGGATAGGCTTTATTTTTAACATTTTTCCAGATTTACTGTGATATAATTGACATATAATATTGTGTACAGTTAGAGTGTACAGCATGTTCATTTCACACACATATATTGCAAAATGATCATCACCATAGCCTTAGCTAACATGCCCAACATGTAACACAATTACCATTTCTATTTTTGTGGTGACATTTAAGAGGTACTTTCTTAGCAACTGTAAAGTACATAATATATCATTAACTATAATCAGCGTGCTGTACATTAGATCCCCAGAACTTATTTATCTCATAATGTGTAGTATGCACCCCTTGACCAACATCTCCCCATTTTCCCCCAGTCCCTGGTAACCACCATTCTACTGTTGGTTTCTCTGAGTGTGGTTTTCGTAGGTTCCACATAAATGATATGTACACAGTATCTCTTGTTTGGGATCCTGTTTTCATTTCCTTTGGATATATACCTAGAGGTGGAATTGCTGGATCATATGGTAGCTCTATTTTCAATTCTTTGAGAAACCTCTGTTCTGTCTTCCATAGAGGCAACACCAATGCACAATCCCAAGAATACTGTAGAAAGGTTCCCATTTCTTCACATTCTTGACAGAACTTGATAGTTCTTGGGTTTTGATGATAAGCATTCTAACAGGTGTGAGGTAGCAAGCAGCATACTGTTTTGATTAGTATAGCTTTGTAGTGTAGTTTGAAATCAGAAGTGTGATACCTCCTTTTGTGGTTCCATACAAATTTTAGGATTGTTTTTTCTACTGAGTGAAAAATGTCATTGGAATTTTGATAGGGATTGCATTTAATCCATAGATGCCTTGGGTTGGTACGGGCAGTTTGACAATGGCGCTTAACAATGGAAGAATATTAATTCCAGTTAACAATGGAAGAATAATAATTCTTCCAATTTATGAGCATAAGATCTTTTCATTTGTTTGCGTCTTTAATTTCTTCCATCAATGTCTTATAGTTTTCAGTGTACGTATAATTCATCTCCTTGGTTAAATTCATTCCTAAATATTATATTGTTGATACTATTGTGATTGGGACTGTTTTATTTCTTTTTCATATGTGTCATTGTTAGTGTATAGAACAATTGATTTCTGTAAGTTCTGTAACTTTACTGAATTTGTTGATTAGTTCTGACAGTTTTATGGTGATGTCTAGGATTTTCAGTATATCCTACTATCTGCAAACAAAGACAATTTTACTTATTCCTATTCAGTTGGGATGCCTTTTATTTCTTTTTCTTGCCTTATTTCTCTGGCTAGGATTTCCAGTATTATAATTGGAATGGTAGGAGTGGGCATCCTTAATCTTGTTACTAATATTAGAGAACAAGCTTTCAACATTTCACCATTGATTATGTTAGCTGTGGGTTTGTCATATATGGCCTTTATCATGTTGAGGTATGTTCCTTCTATACCCAATTTGTTGAGCATATTTTTCATGAAAGGATGGTGAATTTTGTCTAATTTTTTTTCTGTATCTATTGAAATGATCAAATCATTGTGATCATCCTGCTAATGTGGTCTTTCATGTCTATTAATTTTCATATGTTGAAATACCCTTGCATCATAGGGATGAATCCTGCTTGATTGTGATGTATAATCCTTTTAATACGCTATTGAATTTGGTTTGTTAATATTCTGTTGAGGACTTTTACATCTATATTCATCTGAAATATTGGTCTCTAGTTCTCTTTTCTTAAGGTGTCCATATCTGGCTTAGGTATCAGGGTAAAGCTCACTTTATATGATGAGTTGGGGAGTTCTAAAGATGGTTTAAAATGCAGATGTAAGGTCCCTTTACTATTTAAGAGTTTCTGGTCTGTGAGACGTTTATCTTATTTTGGAGTACAATTATATTTTTTGTTTTCTTATTGTGTCTTTCTGATATTTAGGGCACCGTAAGTGAAGGTGGTAGTGAGTTCTCAAAGTGAATTCACACAGAATCTTGATTAGAATACATTACTCGGTGACTACTACAAAGTACACACTAATAGTAGGGAATTTTAACACCCCATTGTCAAAAATGGACAGATCTTCCAAACAAAACATCAACAAGGATATTGTGGAGCTGAATGACGTACTGAATCAAATGGACTTAACTGACATATATAGAACCTGACATCCCAAAGAAGCAAAATACATATTCTTTTCAAATGTTCATGGCAGTTTTTCAAAGATAGACCACATGACAGGACACAAAGTAAGCCTCAGAAAATTCAGGAAAACTGAAGTAATACCAAGCTCTTTCTTGGACCACAAGGGCTTGAAACTGGAAATCAACCTCAAAGAGAAACCTCAAAAACTTGTAAACTCATAGAGACTGAACAGTAGACTATTAAACAATGAATGGGTCAATAATGAGATAAGAGAAGAAATCAAAAAGTTTCTGGAAACAAATGAAAATGAACAGACAACAGTCCAAAACCTATGGGACACAGCAAAGGTGGTCCTGAGAGGGAAGTTCATAGCAATGCAGGCCTACCTCAAAAAGATGGAAACATTTCAAATAAAAGACCTAACACTACAACTTCAAGAATTGGAGAAACAACAACAAATAAATCCCAGAGCAAGGAGAAGGGAGGAAATAGTCAAGATTAGAGCAGAACTGAATGACATAGAGACAAAAAGAACAATTCAAAGGATCAACCAATCCAGGAGCTGGTTCTTTGAAAAGATAAATAAAATCGACAAGCCTTTAAGCAGACTCATGAAGAATAAAAGGGAGAGGACCCAAATTAATAATATCAGAAATGAAAGAGGAGAAATAACAACTGATACCACAGAAATACAAAGGATTGTCAGAAACTACTACGAACAATTATATGCCAAGAAATTTGAAAACCTGGATGAAATGGACAAATTTCTAGAAAAGTGTAATCTTCCAATATTGAAGGAGGAAGAAACAGAAAGCTTGAACAGACCGATAACAGGTGGGGAAATTGAAGCCGTAATCAAGAAACTCCCAGCACACAAAAGCCCAGGGCCCAACGGTTTCACAGGAGAATTTTACAAAACATTTAAGGAAGAGCTAACCTCTGTCCTTCTCAGACTATTCCAAAAAATCCAAGAAGAGGGAAGACTCCCAGACTCCTTCTATGAGGCCAGCATCACCCTGATCCCAAAACCAGATAAAGACTCTACAAAAGAAAGAAAACCACCAGCCAATTTCGCTCATGAACATAGACACTAAAATCTTCAAAAAATACTGGCAAACTGCATCCAGCCATACATTAAAAAAATTATCCACCATGATCAAGTGGGATTCATCCCAGGCATGCAGGGATGGTTCAATATACGCAAATCAGTAAACGTGATACATCACATAAATAAAAGACAAACACCACATGATCATCTCGATAGATGCAGAAAAAGCATTCGATAAGCTACAGCACCCATTTATGATCAAAACACTCAGCAAAATGGGAATAAATGGGGCATTCCTCAATGTAATAAAGGCCATATATGAAAAACCTACAGCGAACATCATACTCAATGGGCAAAAACTAAAAACTTTCCCACTAATATCGGGAACATGACAAGGATGTCCGCTTTCACCACTTCTATTCAACATTGTATTGGAAGTCCTAGACAGAGCGGTCAGACAAGAAAAAGAAATAAAATGCATCCAAATAGGAAAGGAGGAAGTAAAACTATCATTGTTTGCAGATAACATGAGAGTGTACATAGAAAACCCTGTAGACTCCACCAAAAAACTACTCAACCTGATAAGTGAATTGGGCAAAACAGTGGGATACAAAGTCAATATTAAGAATTCAAAGGCATTTTTGTACACCAGCAATGAAATAGAAGAAGAAGAAATCAGAAAAAAAATACCATTTGATATAGCAACAAGAAAAATAAGGTACCTAGGAATAAATTTAACCAAGAAGTTAAAAGACCTCTATGCAGAAAACTATATAACATTGAAGAAAGAAATTAAGGAAGACACAAATAAATGGAAGCATATACCGTGCTCATGGATTGGAAGAATTAATATCATCAAAATGTTCATACTACCCAAAGCAATTTATAGATTCAACGCAATCCCTATTAAAATACCAATGACATATTTCACAGAAACAGAACAGACATTTCAAAAATTTATATGGAACCATAAACAACCCCAAATAGCCGTAGCAATTTTGAGAAAGAAAAACAAAGTAGGAGGGATCACAATACTGGACATCAAACTATATTACAAAGCCACTATACTCAAAACAATCTGGTACTGGCACAAGAACAGACCCATAGACCAGTGGAACAGAATAGAAAGCCCAGAAATAAAACTAGGTCTATATGGGCAACTAATATTTGACAAAGGGGGCAGAAGCATAAAGTGGAGTAATAATAGCCTCTTCAACAAATGGTGTTGGGAGAGCTGGACAGCTACATGCAAAAAATTGAAATAGGATCATCAGCTGACACCATACACAAAAATAAACTCAAGATGGATAAAAGACTTAAATATAAGTCACAACACCATACAAGTCCTAGGGGAGAACATTGGTAGGAAACTCTCAGATATCCCACGCAGCAATTTTTTCACCGGAATGTCTCCTAAGGCAAGGGACATAAAGGAAAGAATAAACAAGCGGGACCTCATCAAAATAAGAAGCTTCTGCATGGCAAAAGAAAACGTCAGCAAAATGAAAAGGGAGCCAACTGTGTGGGAAAATATATTTGCTAATGATATATCAGATAGAGGCTTGATCTCCAAAATTTATAAAGAACTCACATGACTCCACTCCAAGAAGACAAATGATCCAATCAAAAAATGGGCAAAAGACCTGGACAGACGCTTTTCCAAGGAAGAGATACAGAGGGCCCAAAGACTTTTGAAAGGATGCTCAGCATCACTAGCCATCAGAGAAATGCAGATCAAAACCACAATGAGATACCACCTCACACCGTTCAGAACGGCCATCATAAACAGATCAACAAACAACAGGTGCTAGTGAGGCTGTGGAGAAAAGGGAACACTAGTACACTGTTGGTGGGAATGCAGACTGGTGCAGCCATTGTGGAAAGCAGTGTGGAATTTCCTCAAAAAGCTGAAAATGGAACTGCCTTTTGATCCAATGATTCCCCTGCTGGAACTATACCCTAAGAATCCCAAAACACCAATTCAAAAGAACCTATGCACCTCAATGTTCATAGCAGCACGATGTACAATAGCCAAGTGTTGGAAGCAACCTAAATGCCCATCAGTAGATGATTGGATCAAAAAATTATGGTACATTTACACAATGGAATACTATGCAGCAGAAAGAAAAAAAAGAACTACTATGCTTCGCGACAGCATGGATGGAACTAGAGAGCATTATGCTAAGCGAAATAAGCCAGGGGATGAAAGACAAATACCATATGATCTCACCTATAAGTGGAACCTGACCAACAATACAAAGATGTAAGGAAAATAAGACCAGCAACACTGAAAGGAAAGAAAACAACAGAGACAAGAGGGAAGGAGGGAGGGGTGGGCGGGGGAAAAGGAAGGGAAGGGGCAAGTCAAGGAACATATAGCAAGGACTCATGGACAAAGCCAAAGTGGGGAAGGATTGAGGGAGGGAGAGGGGGAGGGGAGCAGGGAAGAGTGGTGGAGGCAAGGCAGAGACAAATGTATCTGGAAAAATAAATTAATTAATTTAAAAAACCCACAATGAGATGTCACCTCACACCCACTAGGATGACTAGAATCAAAATCTCAATTATAACAAGTGTTGGCAAGGATTTGCATAAATTGAAACTGTAAAAAAAAAAAAAGTTTCTGGTCCGTGAGACATTTATCTTGTTTTGGAGTTCAATTATGATATATTTTTTGTTTTCTTATTGTGTCTTTCTGATATTTAGAGCAGGGTAAGTGAAGGTGGTAGTAGGTTCTCAAAGTGAACTGACAAAGAATCTTGATTAGAATACATTACTCGGTGACTACTACAAAGTACCCATTGGCCCCCCGCAAATCTATTATTACTACAAAGATTTACTGAGACGTTCCCATGGGACAGGCTCTGTGCAACGTGCCTCCTTGCACTCTTTGAATGTAGCCCTTCTAGCAACGCTTTTGCAAATCCTGACTTTACAGATGATAAAAACGAGGCTCAGAGAGGCTGCCGAGGACTTGCCTATGCTTTCACCATTAGCAGCTCTGAGAGCCTGGATTTGAGATCAATGCCTGTAAACATGTTCTCCACTTTGGACCACTTTTGACAGCATCCACCACACGGCTGCCTCTTTGTGCACTTGGGCATATTGTCCTGAGAGAAAGAATGCTGTCCCGTTTGAAGGAAACTTGCCCTCATCTATACAACATTTTCTCAACAAATATACCTCCTAGGAAACAGCCTTCTGAATCTCATGAAACCTGGGGGCTAGGGAGAGACATGGATTGCCACTTGCTAAGGACGTGCCTCGTTTCTCTGCAGCAAACTCTTTCTCCCCACCCAAACCTCTCATCCAGTTCTGTTATCACTGATGTCATTGGTCTCACAGCTGTTCCCCTCTCCCCTGTGAAAAAAGTCCTTTTTGTATGGTCCAGAGAGTCATTTCAAGAGTGAAACCCTGCTGTAATGTATGAGCTGTTGGTATCCAGCTCACCCTGGCCGGCTCTTGCCTTGGGCAGTTCTTGGCTTCAAGCTGAACCTATGAATGTGTTCATATTTGAGCCACCAGGCCTGATGGAGGTGGAACAGAGCCAAAGTTTTCTTACCCCTGTCAGTGGCATGTGTCACACTCTAGCCACACCTGCAGGACACATGTACTGTACTCGGAGTCAGCTGGGCCTCCAACCTCCAGCCAGACCGGGAACCCTGAGCTCTGGGGGCTCAGGAACCATCTCTGGAACATTATTCTTCCCAGTAAACTCTCCTCCTCACCTGCTTGGGTCTAGGCTTCTGCCTTGAGCCCCACAGTGAACTTTGATTCATTGCCCCTCTAACACACCAGATCCATGTCCTCTCCACCCCCGCCGCCCCCCACCACTCCCCAGCGCACCCAGTCAAGACCCTATTCCTAAGCTCCCTCTGGCTGGGGGGTGTGTGTGTATGTAAAACACTGTCATTTCCTTCATCTCCCAACTGCATCACCAGCTGCTCCCGGAACGCCAGGTGGTTTTGTTATTCACTGGAAGAGATAGAACATGGTCAGGAAAGGCCAGTGTGGGGGAGGATATCATCTACACTAAGCTAAATACAAGGGAATGCTGGCTTTCTCCAGTTTGAGTTTTAGAAACCATAGCTTGACTTCCAGTCACATGGAGAACCGCCTGTGGGCGATGCCTGGTGCTGCTCCTCCTTCAGGAGCTGGCCCTGGTGCAGTAAAGTACTTCCACGTGGGCCCCCGCACGCAGCAGAGCCAGAGGGTTACCTGTAGGTTGTATCAACACTCAGGTTGGCTGCAGCTAACTCTGATGGAGGTATCCACGCAGGTAATGTGTTCCCAGCAACCCACTTTGTCCACTCAAACAAGCCAGGCTCTACACGGATCTTCAAGTGATTTTCCTGTTGTAAACCTTAGAGGTAAGACAAAATGAAGATGAAGGAAATGCCACTATGTTCTCAGTGGAAAAGTTAATTAGAGCCAAACTGTCATAAACATTCTGGTAAATCATCTATACTCTTTTCAACTATATGCTATAGAGTGAAAAGGAAGTGGAAGAATGTGGTTTTGGACCAGAGTTTTAAATTTTTGTGTGTTTCAAATTTATGACCTTAACACTCTGGCCACAGCACCAGGAGAGGATGTATGTGGGTTAAGGAAAAAACCACAAGTCATTACCCCCATAATTTGTGGAGTTCTATGACTGCTGCAATTCCTTTTTCTAAAGTAAGCTCCAAGGCTGCCTCATGAAGAAACTTGAGAGATTCTCTCAGTATCCACTAGTCTACAATAGCTTACATCGTACGTGAATATCAGGTAAACTACTCATTTTCTCTATCAGAATATGCAGGGTTGAATATTTACAAGTGTCAGTACACAATATTCCACTCTTTATCGCTGTGCAATGACCCTCGGCATCGGAACTGTCCCTGTTTAACTCTCTTTACAGCGCCTTAAGCCAAGTTTTTCTATAATGCATTTTAACACATAAATGCATTCTGGTTTACTTAAGATTAATGAATAGCAGTCTCAACTACAGTGTAGATTCTTTGTTGGCTCAGCTATTTCTGGCTCATTTGTTTGGTATGAGTAACAGCCCAACGTTGTTTCTTCTAGGTTTCTTTCCAGTGAAATGAGAATGGCGATCCCTAGAACTCAAGTTTCCATGGATTTTAGGATGGAAGTTCAGTGTCTTTATAGCAATGGTGTTTTTAAAGCTATTCCACTAAAGAAACTAGGATAATTAAGAGTGGCAGACACCTCAGAGCATCATTGCTACTGTAAACAAGAGGCAAACAGAGCAGAGTGGGAGGATGTGACTTCACTGTTTCATGAGACATGCTCTGTAGGTTCTGAATTATTGCCAGACAACAATATTTTGCATGCTTACAACTCATCCAAGGAAAAATTATTCAAGAAAAAAAATTATTTGTATACTTCCTTTCATCATGCTTATGCTGCTGGAGTATGGTTTTGGGACTTTTGTAGAGATATCTTCTGAAAGAATCGCTGCTAAAAACCCCAAATTTGAGGCTTTCCCTTGGCTAATGCCCCAGGAGTCTACGGTAATTTAAGTGCAGTGCTGCCTGGAGACACCGGGATGGACTGGCTGACCTTCATCAAGTCTTACCTTTCAAGATGTTGTATGCCGTCTGAACACAGCGCAGGGATGGGGAACAATAGATGTGGTCAATAATGGTGTTACTTTCCAATAAAGCTTCACCTGTAAAGAAAACCAAAGGATGATCAATCTGATGGGCTCGGCCTCAGCTGGACACTCCCTGTGGGCAAAGATGCAGTCAGGCCTGCGGACCTCTCTTTGTCAGCAAGGGATCACACGGAGTCAGCAGCCTCAGCCCTTTTTGTTTCCAACAAATCCTTGATAAAGAGAGACTTATTTCTAGGAAAAGAAGCCAAATAAAAGAATCTTTCTTGTTTTTTCCTTTCCTTCTGCTTGGTGCTAACAAGTGGCAAAATGTCTACCTAGGAGAAACCTAGAAACACAATAATGCTTTGATTTCAAGTTTGTAATAAAAGTAGGAGTGTTTAAACTGTTTTAATTGTATGCTGTGCTAAATAAAATTTCAGTTTGTCACATTCTGGGTAAACCTCAACACCGGATACCACAACACTTTCCTCATGGAATCCATGTCTTTCCTCTGCTGAATAAAGTCCAAACACTTTGATATAGAGGTCAAGGTCTTCCACAAACTTGTCTTTATTCCTCTTGCCAACCTCATCTACTGCCCTACTCACAATCTATGCTCTACAAACAAGATAGTTGTTTCCTGTGCACTCTTGATGTGGTTTCTCATGCCTACAACTTTATGTTGTTCTTCCCACTGAGAACGCCCTTCCCTCTTCCTGCTCCTTCTCACCCGGCTGACTTTGACTTCCGGTCTCAGCTTACTTTGCTTCTCTTATGTCTATTTTTCTGCTCCCATACTTCTTCTTCTTCTTCTTCTTTTTTTTGAGTTAGAAGGGTGAAATCAATGTAGGGTTTTTAATTTTTTTCAATTACAGTTTATAGTCAGTATTATTTTGCATTAGTTCCAGGTGGTGGGGCTTCCATTCAAGATGGCAGCATAGGTATACACAGCTCACCTCCTCACACAGCCACATCAAAATTACAACTAAACTACAAAATAACCATCATTCATAACCATCAGAAATCAAGCTGAATGGAAGTCCTGCAACTACAAATTAAAGAACCACACTGAGACCATAAGGAGGGACAGAGATGCGGAATGGGCTAGTCCCACAGCCACATGGGGTGGGCAAAAATTGGGAGGGATAGCTTGGGAGTAAGGGGTCCCAGCCGCACACCAGGCCCCCAAGCCCAGGGTTCAGTGCTAGGAAGATAAGTCCCCATAACTTCTGGCTGTAAAAACCAGTGGGGATTGAGACTAAGGAAGACAAACTACTAGAGTCTTAGGCAGTCGCTCTTAAAGGGCTCATGCACAGACTTACTCAGACTCACTCCTCCGGAGCTTCAACATGGGGGCAGCAGGTTGAAAGACACCAGAGAATATACAGTGAGGAACTGAATTGCCCAGCATCAGGGCAAGAGCTGGTGGAGGCAGGGGCGGGGGCAGCTTTCTCCCATACAGAAATGATGGCAGAGGCCATTGTCCCTTTTCTGAGCACTCCCACCACAGGGTCACAGGGCTGGAAGGTGGGTGCCATATCTGAGACTCCATCAACCTGGCTCATACTGTTTTCCCCACCCTCGTGATTCCCTGAGGCTCCACCCCACCCAACTTTCAGGGCCAGGCTGTTTCCAGTGGCTTTTACAAATATAAATGTCTTGTCTTGGCTTATGCTTTAGATTTTCTTGAAATCTCTCAAACAGCATCTGGCCTCAGCATGCCCCAAGTCTATTGCTAAGTGGCCCCAGGTTCGACACTAGCAGCAAAGCAGCTGGCCTTGGTTCACAGCTTGGACTCATTTGGGCACCTCCAAGCCTAGCACAAGTAGCAGCCAACTACAGATTGATTTGTAGCTTATTTGGGTAGCCCTGGACAGAAAACAAGGGTGGCTGATCTTGGCCTGCCATTCCCAGGAGGCGCCAGAGCCTGCACACCCAGAACAGCTGCTGACCACATCAGAGCACCATCACCCAATCACCTCCACAAGCAACACACTCAAAGGGAAGACTCAGTGGGCACCAGCTGTGCTGAAGTAAGTCCTGCTCTGTGGAGCTGTGCCCTGCACAGTTGATCCGCCAAGGTGGTTGGAAGATGGCAGTCAGTGGTCAGTGTCATTCCTTACTGCTGACTGGCCTGGCTAAATCCCTCCCATTGACCTGCGAATGGCAATCACACTTTGCTGCAGGATGGGGGTATACACAGCCCACACAGTGGGTGCACCTCGAGTGCCCAGCTTGGGTGACAGAGGAGGCTGTGCAACTAGACCATATGGGACACTTACTACATTAGGCCAGTCAACCAAGCTGTAGAGTTGTAGCAATGCTACATATTATGGGAAAACAAACACTGGGAGGCTGCCAAAATGAGGAGACAAAGAAGCATGGCCCATGAAGAAACAGAGCAAAACTCCAGAGGGAGAACTAAACAAAATGAAGATATGTGGTCTGCTAGGTGCAGAGTTCAAGACAATGGTTATAGGGATGCTCAGTGAACTTAGTGAGGACCTCAGCAGCATAAAAAAGGGCACGGAACCATGAAAAGATCAGTCAGAAATGAAGGATACACTAACTGAAATGAAGAACAATTTATAGGGAATCAACAGTAGAGGGGATAGAGCCAAGAATCAAATCAGTGATTTAGACTATCAGGAAGCAAAAAAAACAAAAAAAAAACCAAACCCCAAAAACAAAACAAAACAAAAAACCCAATCAGAACACAAGAAGAAGAAAGAATCCAAAAAAATGAGGAGTGTAAGAAGCCTTTGGTACAACTGCAAGCACACCAACATTCGCAACATGAGGGTGCCAAAAGGATAAGAGAGCAAGAAATTGGAAACCTATTTGAAAAAATAATGACAGAACGTCCCTAACTTGGTGAAGGAAGTAGATATACAGTACAGGAAGCACGGAGAGTTCCAAACAAAACAAACCCAAAGAAGCCCACACCAAAACACACCATAATTAAAATGCCAAAGCCCAAAGACAAAGAGAGAACCTTAAAAGCAGAAAGAGAAAAGCCATTAGGTACCTATAAGGGAGTTCCCAGGACACTGTCAGTTGATTTCTCAAAAGAAACTTTACAAGCTATAAGGGATTGAAAAGAAACATTCAAAGTGATAAAAAACAAAGACCTACAACCAAGATTATTCTATCCAGCAAAGCTATCGTTTAGAATCAAAGGACAGATAAAGAGTTTCCCAGACAAGAAAAAGCTAAAGGAGTTCATCGTCACCAAACCAGTGTTATATGAAATGTTAAAGGGTCTTTTCTGAGAAGATAAAAAATATGAACAATAAAATGGTAATAAATACATATCTATCAATAATTGAATCTAAAAAACAAAATAAATGAACAAGCGGAACAGAAACAGAATCATAGATATAGAGAATGTTTTGATGGTTGCCAGATGGGAGGGGGGGTCAGGGGGATGGGCAAAAAAAGTGTAGGGATTAAGAAGTAAAAATTGGTTGTTAAAATATAGTCATGGGGATCAGAGTACAGCTTAGGGAATATAGTAGCCAAAGAAAATATATGCATGACCCTTGGACATGGACAACGGTGTGGGGATTGTCTGATGGAATGGAGGTGCTAAGGGGGGAAAATTAAGACAATTGTAATAGCATAAACAATAAAGTATAATTTAAATTAAAAAAAAGAAAAATTAAAAAAGTAGTTTCAGGTGTAGAGCATAGTGTTTAGACCATGATATACTTTACAAACTGTCCCCTGCGCATACTTTCGGTACCCACCTGGCACCATAAGTAGTTACTACAATATTCTTGACTACATTACTTATGCTATACTTTACATCCCCGTGACTATTTTGTAACTACCAATCTGTACTTCTTAATACTTTCATCTGTATCACTCAGTCCCCCAACCTGCCTGCCCCATGGCAACTATAAATCTGTTCTCTGCATCTATTGAGTCCGTTTCTATATTTTTTTTTGTTCATTTATTCTGTTGCTCAAATTTCAGGTATAAGTGAAATCATATGGTATCTGACTGACCGACTTCACTTAACATAATAATCTCTAGGTCCATCCATGCTGTCCAAAAAGTAAAATTTCATTCTTTTTTATGGCCTAGTCATATTCCATTGTATATATGCACCACCTCTTTTTTATCTACTCATCTACCAATGGGCACTTGAGTTGCTTCCACTCTTTGGCTATTATAAATAATGCTGCTTATATTCTTTCAAGTTAGTGTTTTGCATTTCTTCAGATATATTCCCAGAAGGGAAACTGCTGAGTCATAAGACAGTTCCATTCTAAATTTTTTGAGCACCCTCAACATTGTTTTCTACTGTGGCTGCACCCATCTGCATTTCCAAAACAGTACACAAGGGTTCCCTTTTCTTCACATCCTTGCCAACAGCTGCTTGTTGATTTACTGATTTTATCAATGAAAGTCATTCTGAATTCTGACTGCTGTGAGGTGATATCTCATTGTGGTTTTAATTTGCATTTCTCTGATGATTATCATCATTGAGCACCTTTTCATATGTCTATTGGCCATCTGATGTCCTCTTCAGAGAAGTGTCTATTCAGGTTCTCTGCTAACTGGATTTTGTTGTTATTTTTTTCGTGTTGAGTTGTATGAATTCTTTACAAATTTTGGATATTAACCTCTAATCCCATGTATCATTGGCAAACATATTCTCCCATTCAGTAAATTGGCTTTCTGTTTTGTTGATGGTTTCCTTTGCTGTGCAAAGACTTTTTAGTTTCATGTAGTCACATTTGTTTATTTATTTATTTTAAATCCTCACCTGAAGATATGTTTATTGATATTTTAGAGAGAAAGGAAGGGGTGGAAGAAAGAGAAACATCAGTGTGAGAGAGAAACATTTTTTGGTTGCCTTCTCATACATGCTTCTACTGGGGATTGAACCCACAACTGGGGTATGTGCCCTGACCAGGAATCAAATGGTGACTATCCATCCATAGGATGACACTCCAACCAATTGGCCCACACTGGGCTCCTTTATCAAATATTAATTGACCATATAGCTGTGGGTTTATTTCTAAGCTCTGTAATCTGTTCCATTCATCTACATGTCTGTTTTTATG